TAGTTCCAAGAAGATCTTTTGTGTCATATTGTAGTTCTAAGAGGATCTTTTGTGTCATATTGTTGTTCCAAGTAGATCTTTTGGGTCATATTGTAGTTTCCTAGATCACATTCATATTGTAGTTTCCGAGAAGATCCTACATGTCATATTGTAGTTTCTAGGAATATCATACGTACCATATTGTAGTTTTCAAGAAAATGTTATGAATGTGTTGACATCCACAGTATTATGATCAATCAACATACTATATGATCTTCAATATGCACATATCGACGAGGCAATTCCCAAAATGAACATCACCAACAATAATATCAACATTTAAATATAAATCTAGTTTATAAAGTATTGCCTTTCACAAGTGCCATTCGCAGGAAATGTACTTCACCATTGGCACACCCTACCACAGCAAACTTCCGATCTATTGACATGCTAAACGCAGTTACTCTTGTATTCGTAAGCACAAACCGGGTTGCGGTTTGACCCGTCGCAATCTCTATTATCCGTAGTACGCCATTGATAATCCCACCAAGAAGCCAACCGTTCAGTTTGTGAAAGTGGTTCAGTCGTGTCATATGGCCATTGAGTGCGGCAAACTGTGTCGCTTGAAACAAGTGTGAGTATTCGCCAGTTTCAGAGTACGTGTCAACTATTTCACCTATTTGACCATCAAAAACTCGTATGATTGCCTCAGGAATTTTTTCACTGACTGCAACATCATTCGTATCTATCTTATGGCGTCTCATTCTTGCTGATGGTTTACGAGTTTCTGAGACTTTTTGTTGCATCAGTATAACTGGACTTGATTCGTCAAATATGATGCCATGATGTTTAGTGAGGTTGCTAGGCAACTGACAACGCCATATTGTTTGTTGTGTTGTTATATCCCATAATATAACTTCTGGTGCTGCCATGATGTAGTATTGCTGTTCTTTGTTTGTTTGGAAATAGGCACGTAATGGTACTTGAATGGATGCTAAGACTTCCCCAGAGCTGCACATTGCAGCAGCAGTAATCTGTGAAATAAATAGTATCATTATAGAGAAACATCTCTGAAGGTGATTGACTTTGCCCTACAAGAGGTTTAACCTTTTAAACCCCAGACTTTCTCGTCCAAATTTGTCTCCACTTCTTCCTTATATTCTTTAATATTTCTGGAAATGAACCTTAATTTTGGAGTCAACAGACAAAATTTCAGTCAATTTTTAGTTTTTACTCAAAACAAGCAGCATGTCGGCTGAGATAGCTCCGCTGTTAGCAATACACATTTCAATTAAAGAACAATACATGTTTGTATATTATCAAAGCAATCGAACGGATGCCAACGGACAATCACTCATATGGTAAGCTCCGCTCGACAAAGTCGACAGCGGAGCTAAAAATTGGATACTTTTGGTCCAATCTTCTAAATAAAAGTGCAGACTATGAACGGGTTATTTTGTGAATTTGTGATGATAAAGGTGGATCTGGTGGTGGAAGGGTTAATACAGATGTATTGATGTGCAAAGGGCTGAATTTTCATGCATGAACATCAAAAATATGACAAACCTGAAATCCTTGTCCGTGATCAAATTCCAAAGGATATGGATTATATCCATAGAAATTTGGATTATCCTTGTGATTTTTCCATTGTTCCAGGATCTCCGCCGTCAGAATGGGATAAAGGATTAGTATTCCAGGTCTGTTACTAGGAGTGAAACAGGAATATAATCCATCTTGGTTGAAGATCGTAAATAAGTGACTTGGATTGATGTAAGGAAGTAATCTAAAAAAAAAAGTTGTTATTAATGCTTTGAATATCTTATTCAATTTGTCTCAACTTTCAAAAAAAGTACCCCTACATAATAGTTTCAATTTTATTTTCAACATTTTTATCAATAACAGTTAATATGAATTCGCGAAAAATACATAGAAATGTGCAAAATGCAACACGAAAATAATAGCAGGAAAATTATGCTATTAAAAAGGTGAAAAACAATACAGTGCTATATTTCATGAGGATACTTTTCTATGCAATTAAAGTAGGCTTTATTAGTTATAGGCTTGGTTGACAGTAATGACATCAAGACAGATGTCACTTTAATGCAAATTTATGTGACAATGACACTGATTCCTGGGGTAAGATGAAATGTATGCAAAAATAAACTGTTTTGCATCAGCATCATCCTAGGATGTAGCATCTTATATAAACAGCCCTTTTATGCAGCACAGTTTTGGTGTTTTTGTTCACTCATGATTATTATTATTATTTTTTTTTTAAATGTTTTTCTGCCAGACAGTTCTGGACATTGAATGTCACTGTTGTCTCTCCTGATTTTTTTTTGTATGTGCAAATTACAAGTGCTAGTGCTGACACATAGTGCATTTTACCACAGCAGTCGTATTCATGTTTGGGACTACATGACAGGGCTGTGTGGCCATCTCTCTATCAAATGGCAATTTTAATGCGCTATCCTGGCGCCAACCAGGCTCGGTCGAACACAAGCACCTGCGGACCTTAACCAAGGTTCCCCCAAAGTCGCATTCGTTAGTGAATGAATCTCGGCCAGTGGATTGGCCTTCCCATTTAGTCTGTGGAACACAGTCACCCAGGGTAAGGGTTGACACTTTGATGTACAGCTTTGATGTCCAGAACTTGGTTCTACCGATCATGAGTCTGATTATTTTTTAATGAGACCATGTAATGATATTGAGATGATATTTTGATACACTCATGCTTTCCCAAAGTTAGTATGATCTATGATTATCAACAAACTTACATTATGTTTTATGTTATTTACGTTATATAATTATATAACTTTTGCCGTTGATGGTTTTTGACAGAGTTATAAGGATTCTTATCATTATTAGAACATTGTGAATTATTGTTATAATTGCATCACGTGAGTAATTTGAATCATTCCGTCTAAACTTATCACATTGATGTGATTAAAAAACATACACTTGCACATTCAAGCATTTTTCTCCAACCATGAATTACCATAACATACAGTAATAATATTTCACACTGAATCATTCACCACTCTCACCTGTGTTCTCCACTTATAGTTGTACTATCATAGTGATCAGTTGAACTATTCAGATTCCATACATCAATCCCCAGTGAGCAATACGACGCCACAAAATGACCATCTTCAGAAAAACATGCTACTTTACCAATGGCTGCAAAGAGACACATATGTGATCTGTGACATATTTAATGGTATGAATATGCTGGGCAAACAATGAATCAGAGATGAATTACTGAAAGCAGAAACTGCAAATCTTTATGAATATATATACATGTGTGTCGCACATGCTGAATTCCACAATATCTAAAATGACAATTTAAACAACCAGTAGTAGAAGAGTAGTAAGGAACTATGTAAATAAAATGTGATACTGTGGAATACTTTATTTTCGCTGGAATTAATTTTCGCTGAAAAGGCTTTTTGGGCGTTTTGTATAGAACGTATTTTCACTGATTTTTGATGAATTTAATGTGAAATATAGGAAAAAAAGTACATTCGCTGGATTTTATTTTCACGGAATCATCCATTCAGCGAAAATAGCGAAAATAAATTCCAAGTGAAAATAAAGTATTCTACAGTAGTACAGTGCATGCCAGATGCCTGTACCAAAGCATTTTTAATTGTTTGTAAATACTTGCTTTCAGTTTTCAAGTATGTATATAATTGTGATAGCTCAAAGCTCAACATTTTCTACAGCCATACAAAAATATGCATACATTTTTAAATATCTGATTGTGACAAATATTCAAATTAAGCATTTGCTGATTGGATGAAATTGAACTAACTGATTAACAATAATTTATCCTCACTATGATGTCACAACCCGTTGTTAGATTATTTGGAAACAGCCATTTTTAATCCATAAAATATTATATTTATAAAATGTTTATAACACCCCCGCCTTTTTGTCACACACTGTACAACAGCCTAACAGTGTCTGGGATGAGATTCAGCTAGAGGTCAAAGGTCATCTGACTAATCTTTTTTTTATTTCCTATACTTACTACAAGAATGTGGTGGTTTCAGAATCTTGTACAACTTAGGAGGAGTTGATGTAGTTGACCACACCCAGCAACTATTACCAGTGCTTGACGATGCAACTTTAGCGCCATCGTTGGAATACACGCAGGAATTCACAGCACCACCATGACTCTGTAGACAAAACATGAACTAGTAAATATCATGTAGTTTCCATGGCAATATTTGCTTACATGTGCAGAGTGTAAAAATTAGAAATGATTCACATTTTGTTGGGATTTTGTGTAATTTATTTGTTGACTTTGACCAAAAAATGAATCATTTTCTGAAGTGGCATATTTGACAACATTCAATATAGACACCATCATGTAGTCACCAAAATGGTGGTGCAATATTTTGAAAATTTTATGTAGCAAAATATTAATTTAATAAAAGTCTTTTAATGAGATATTTGCAGTCAGTTGCTTTTGAAGTCCATTATGGAATAAATGGTTAAAATTTTCCATTTCCTACAAGTCATTTTAATAAAAACACATGTGAAATGTGACATAAGTTGACTTCAGCATTCCAAAGGTCTAAAAGTGAATTTTGCACTGGTAATATTCCTCGTCTAGTACTCCCCGAATTACCAAATAAAGACATTTTACAATCTTACCAACATTTCTTTAAAAATATGGACAAATTATGCAGGTATATTATTTGAAGCATGATAGAAGTTGCCTTTAGTATTAAAAGGTGAAAGTTTTACCGGCATTTCTTTGTCAGCTCCTGTATCAGGCCTGATATAGGCAGTATCCCATATCCTAACAGTACCATCTTCACTAGAGGATGCTGCCAATGTACTCTGTTTATGTACTCCTTGTTGAAAATGACATGATTTCACGACTGCTGTGTGTTCCTCTATCGTAGCCCAGCCAACAGAGGGCGATAGACAACAAATCTGAAAATGCAAGTTAAAGATCAGACAAGAAGTGACAGAAAAAACAAGCCACGCATGGTACAGTCCCCGTTAGTTATCATATTTAAGATATATAGTTTTGTTTATAGTAATATAGCTAGAATATAAACATGTCAGGAATATGATTATGATGATTGTTTAATAATAAAATGATTGACATCTGATCGTCAAACGAGTATTGAGAGATATTGCTCTGGAACAGCATTAATTAAAACAAAATCAGCCATTTTGAATACATGTATAATGAATATATAAAATTTGAACATAATCAGTCAAAGCATGTCAGAGATATGGCACTAAAACTGCATTCATTAATACATAATGGCCACCAGTCGGCCATTTAAAATCCGATCTGAAAAATAACATGAAGTGCATCAGGAACCCGTAATGTTATGTACCAACAAAACCCATCCATAAATGCCAGAAATGCTTGATATTTGATGATATTTTAGCACAAAAATGGCCACCATTCGGCCATTTTTAAATGATCGTCGAACCAATATATCTGCATATCTATGACATGATTTATAATGAGTATTTAAAATTTGAACATAATCAGTCAAAGCGATCAGAGATATGGCATTAGAACCACATTGGATACAAAATGGCTGCCAGTTGGCCATTTAGAATCTTACATGTATCTGAAAAACAAAATGATGTGCATTAATGTCCTATAATGTCCAACGTATATACAAGGTTTGAACAAAATCCGTCTGTAAACAGTCGGGAAATGCTTAATGTTGATGATTTTTTAGCACAAAAATGGCCACCATTCGACCATTTTTAATAGGATTGTCAAAAGAATATATCTGTATATCTGACATGATGTATAATGAATATTTAAAATTTGAACATAATCAGTGAAAGCAAGTCAGAGTTATGGCACTAGAACCACATTCATTTATACAAAACAACTGCCAGTCGGTCATTTTGAATCTAATCTAAAAAACAAAATGATATGCATCAAGGTCCTATAATGTCTAACGTATATAACAAGTTTGAACAAAAGCCATCTGTAAACAGCTGAGAAATGCTTGATTTTGATGATTTTTTTAGCACAAAAATGGCCGCCATTCAGCCATCTTGAATCAGATCGTGAAACAAATTGATGATGTATGTGTGAAGTTTGATTGTGATTGGTCCAGGCATTTCTAAGATACAGATCCGGATGGACGCACGGACACACAGAGGTCAAAACATAAATAATGATTGCTGAATATTATTGTCCGCACAAAAAATGTTTACGATGATGTCAACACTGCCAATGTGGATGACATTAGATGACACACATTTTGTCACAACTATGACTTTCCCTTCACTTCATCATTAGAGGAAAGCCAAAAATAAATAAAAAAAATTCATGTGCTATTAATCTGAGAAAAGAGAAAGAGGTGTGATTTTTCATATAACCATATATGCACTATACTGTAAAGTCATTCAGTTTATATTTTCACAAGGCATTCTATTGTAATTCAACATGTTAATTTAGTGGATTTTATCTATCAGCGAAAATAACAAAATTAAAACCCAGTAAATAATCGGCATGGTCAAGAAAAGGCGAAAGTCATGGTGAAAATTAAGCACCGTGCAAATTTCACTCCATGTAGTATGAAGTCATGCAATGTTTTATAAAACTACTAACTCACACTTACCGATAACTTATTGTACTCGGGTGTCACTATGAAATCTAGATTTGGTGCAAACGAGATCCAAGGATAAAGGCAATTAATTGAGAGTCTTTTGATTGGATTTGGAGAACTACTATAATTATTCCATATGAATGTACCATTTGGCAAAACGGCTATCAAGCGTTTACCATCCGCAGAATATGCAATCTTAGAATTTGTCAAATCAGTCGGTAGTTTATCTGCTGCAAATACCTTTATCTCCTGAAAAAAAAGAAAATAAACTAAATAATATACATGTATATAGTTTACAGTGATATATATATATTTTATGTTAAATATATTTTATTTTATATTTTTTTTTGTTGCAGAGAAAAATATTTTTACTTCTTTCATCTTAACATTTACAAACTAATGTGTGATGACCATAAACAAAAATCTAATGTAGGTGTTCAAAAGGTGTTCAAAAGTAATGCATAAACAAGTTTGATAAGTGACAGCGCCCTCTATACAACCAGCACCTGATAAAAACAAAAGTAAAGCAGAATAAATCAAGGATTGTTGAATGAGCACTTTGCACAAATAAAGGAATATAATATAAATAAGGATTAAATTTCTTTTTTGGCCTTTAGTTGATTATTTTTTTCAATAAAGTTCCAAGTTCCCTGGTTGCTTAGATACCATGTATATGAATGCTGCTTCCCTCTTAGTCAGCAGGAATATACAATATTAAGCCTATACAGCATGATTTTTGTTTCAAACATGTTGGTATTGTAAGAATCTATGTTACATGTACCTGGTTATAAAATTAACAACCACCCCACTATTTCATCACAAGCACACTCAGTAGTAAAACTTGACATTCAGCTCTATATGCATATCAAAATCCCAGGAAACTTTGCATAGTTAAATAAATAATATTTACCTAATCATACCAATAGAGGGCGACATACATTCAGTTTATTTGATTTTTAAACTATTATTTGAGATTACTTACAGCGTCTGTAGTACAACTCCTTGTGTAAATCTGTGAGCTGACGACGGCGAGGCATTTACCATCTGGTGAAAAACACACAGCTTTTGGACGAGTCTGAACAAACAAATTTAAATATAACAATAAATATAAATAATATAAATTGGAAGAAAGTATTCTTGCGAGTGGAGCTATGTCACGGAATATTCTATGTTGGATGTGCACCACTGTATTATGTGTTTCTATGGGCTATGCAAAAGCTGCTGTAGAATATGAGCTGAGAATTCAGTGACAACAGCTAGGTCAAGAATATTTTGAGGTAATCCTGAGGAACCAAATTTATATACATGTATATCAATTAAACATTTTGTTCAAGCAAATAATACAGAAAAACTTGTTTACATTTTAAATGCAGAGAACAGATCATTGATGAAAGAATTAATTAAATACATAAAAATTAATTATGACAAGAAAACAATATTATCAATGTTAAAGAAAAACTCATGGAAATGTAATATTTTAATTTTTATCTTCAAATACCAGTAATATTCCTTTAGTTTTATTACTTTTTTAGAATAGTTTGTTATACCTTTATTACACTTGTATTCACCTAAATTGAAATCCTTTCAATATGGATGCAATAAAGAATTATCTTATTTTATCTTATCTTAGGGGTAATCTAGTTACACTGTTCAGGAGAATCTCAACAACTAGCACAAAGTACCATTTCCTGGGAGTTTGCACTTGAAAAAGTTGTCCAGTGAGCATTGAGGTCATTTACAGTAACTTTCACATAATTTTGTCCTTAAGAGAAATGTACTGAGCATGTTTTATGCAATGAACAATTCAGATCACAGTGTATATTAAAATCGTACCTTCAATTCTTTCTTCTGTAACATTTTACCAGATAAACTACTGAATTTATAGAATTTCCCAAACGACACCATATGAATCTCTTTGTTATTCTTTGGTATAAACATAGCTGGAATGTGATCCACGTCCACATGTATCACCTTCATCAGTTTCCCTATAAGATGATAATAGTGCATCAAACCAATAAATGAAACATACTGGTGTTTATTTCTGGGAGTGAGGTGAAGATGAGGTTGACAGGATTGGGATGAGAGGTATCCATGTTCATGTTGATTTTTTTTTCGGTAACTATATTTGTCTCTAATTTTTATTTCTAGTGTAGTATGATATATGATTACTTGCAATTACGAAATAACAAAGCATCATTTATAATATTTTGAATACAAAACTTCTATCACTAATTATTAACCCACATGATATTATATGATCAGACTGTAGTTTGAGTTTAAGCAATCACATTGCCAAATTTGCAAATTTTGATTCTGTAAATCAAACTCACTTTTTGCAACAGAGTGTTTTAGCGCTGACTAAATGAGTATGGGTATGAGCGATGTTGTCGCAACATGGAACAGTTTGTGTTTGGTGGTGTAGCTTTTCTAACAGACCAATATGTTTTATTAGCAGGTAACCACAGATTAAATATAGTGACCAGGAACATGTCTTGTCACTAGAGGGCGCCACTTATGTGTATATAGATCTAGACTGACCTTTGGAAGTGCCACCTTGACCCATCCCAAATATCTTAAGATTGTTGTGTTCGGCAACGACCAACCAGTTATGATGTGATGGGAATATGGCGGCTACTGCATCGCATTCCACTGTCATTAAATGCTCACCGTTGGCTACCTGTTAACAAAGATCAATAATGTTTGATTCGATTGGATCATTTTAACAAATACATCTACTATCAAGTATTTTCAAGTTCATTTTCAATTTCGTTTTGCTGCATTGTAGCAAAAAATTCAAAAATTACTTTTAAAAATTTGTTACATTCATTACGAAAGATATAATTAAGAGATTTTAATCAAAATCTGACCTGCCATACTCTCAATGTTTTATCGCTGCAAGCCGCTGCCAAGTACTGACATTGTCGAGATAAGACACACAGTGTGACAGCCGATGGATGGTGCAATGTTAACACCAAAGGACTGGCAGTCTGTTTTTTTGACATATCAATCCAACACTGCACTGTGGAGATACAAAATAATATCAGCAAATTATACCTAGAAGTATATTATTCACAGCATGATATCTGCATAGTCACCAATGACAGTTACAGTGCACGAGTAAAGTAGTAAAAACTGTATGATGTTTACAATAGTAGAAGAATGTTTACATTTTCATTTTAAAACTGTTGCCATTCAACAGCCAGGCACGGGCTCGGGGGGAATTTGGCTGGTCAAGGGATATGGCATATACATCCTGATTTTCAGAGAAAGGGCATATATTTTTGGAAGTTTGTATGTCCATAAAAACCATAAAAAGATACTTTTGTGAAACAAGAATTTTGGTATTGGAAGACATTGTTGTTTTGGAAGTTGCACCTGATCCCAACACATAAATACATAGAGGCATTGAAACAGAATGACGATACAGCATATGCTTGAATTTTTTGACTAAAGTTATAGTTTTCCCCAAAATAAGATTCTTTTTTTTAATTATCCATATTGTATCAAAAAAGGGGAGTTAAATTTTATTTAAAAATCAGTGGAAAGGTATACCATCCAACGAACAACCCCCCCCCCCTCCACCCTGTCATGCACATGAGTTATGTAACTATAAAATATGTATTCACTACATGACTTAGAGAAATTTATTGCAGGGGCTGGGTTTTTGAGGAACTCGGTGTCATAGACTGTGATTTTCATATATAATGATTATCAGTGACAAGGCTTGCCATCCAAACGCTGATTCACCTGCATTTCTAGATGGGGTTTTGAGTTTGGACACTAGTTTGTATAGAAACTGAAACATTGTTAAACTATTGTAAACATGCACAATACATCAACACCAGCTCATATATACATGTATATAATAGCATATAATAATGGCGCTCTTTTACTTTGGCATCCCAATAAGTTGTCTTCAAATACGAAAACTCAAAAAGTGTCCTACATGTATAAGGTGGAAAAAAGTACAAGAAAAATGACAATTAACTTACTTCTATAATGGTGTTCTCGGAGATACTCCTTTGCTATCTGACAGCAGGCGGAGGTGTCTGGTTGATTCAAGGCTTGTTGGCAGATCAGATCAGGCTGCTGTTGTAACACATGGCTGTTAGCTCTCATAAATTTATAGAAATGGTCCAACTTATTACCACTTGTATCACATTTCATTGATGCCTAACAGTGAAAAAAATACAGTCAAAGCATGCTTAGAAAGAACTCGTGTGCTGAGAGTATTGAAGACACATTAAAAATTAATTCAAAATTACTTGTACATGAGATATTGATGGGAAAAGCTGAAAACTAATTATGTAAATCCGGTAACTAATATGAACAGAACAAACAAATTATGAATTATTATGCTAATTAGGGAATTAATATGAACAAATTTTAACCCAAAATTAATCAGGCCTGTCTATTGTCCTAGAGCATTTATGTACCAAATTTTATTCAAATGTGATAATTGAGATATCAGTATTAATTAATTATGTTAATTAGGTGATTAATAAGCATAAATATTTGCCAAAATCTAATTGGGTCTCTGCATAGTTCTCTTTAAAAGTTTCATTAAAATCCAATTCGTGGTTCTTTATATACAACAAGCCATGCATGGCACAGTCCCTGTTAGTTATCAAATTTAAGATATATAGTTTGGTTTATAGTAATATAGCTGGAATATAACCATGTCAGGAATATGATTTTTTAACATTAAAATGATTGATATTTGTATCTGATCGTCAAAAAAGTACTTGTCCATATTGAGAGATATTGCTCTGGAACAGCATTCAAAATCAGCTATTTTGAATACATGTATATATATATAACATGATGTATAACGAATATATAAAATTTGAATATAATCAGTCAAAGCATTTAAGAGATATGGCTCTAGAAGCCTAATCATTAAGACAAAATGGCCGCCAGTCAGCCATTTTGAATCCAATCTGAAAAATAAAATGACGTGCATCAGGAACCTGTAATGTCTAATGTATGTACCAAGTTTGAACGAAATCCATCCATAAATGCCAGAAATGCTTGATATTTGATGATTTTTTAGCAAAAAATGACCACCATTCGGCCATTTCAAATAGGATCATCAAACAAATATATCTGTTTATATATGACATGATGTATAATGAATATTTAAAATTTGAATATAATCAGTCAAAACAAGTCGAAGATATGGCACGAGAACCCCATTCATGAAAACAAAATGGCCGCCACACAGCCATTTTGAATCCGATCTGAAAAATATATAATGTGCATCAGGAACCTGTAATGTCTAACATATGTATCAAGTTTGAACGAAATCCATCCATAAATGCTTGATATTTGATGATTTTTTAGCACAAAAATGGCGACTATTTGGCCATTTTGAATAGGGTCATCAAACCAATATATCTGTCTATCTATGACATGATGTATACTGAATATTTAAAATTTGAACATAATCAGTGAAAGCAAGTCAGAGATATGGCACGAGAACCACATTCATTTAAACAAAATGGCTGCCAGTCGGCCATTTTGAATCTTATCTGAAAAACAAAATTATTTGAATCAAGGTCCCATGTCTAATGTACTGTATATATCAAGTTTGAACAAAATCCATCTGTAAACAGCCGCAAAATGCTTGATTTTGATGATTTTTTAGCACAAAAATGGCCGCCATTTGGCCATCTTGAATCAGATCGTAAAACAAAATGATGTGCATCAAGGTTCTATAATGTCTAATGTATATACCAAGTTTGAACAAAATCCATCTGTAAACAGCTGAGAAATGCTTGTTTTTAATGATTATATGTACTGATATTACCCTAAAAACTATCAGGTCTGTGCAGTGTCCTATGACATCTATGTACCAAGTTTCATTGAAATGTGATGATTACTACTTGAAATATCAAAAGCTGAAATTAAATGAATTATGCAAATTAGGTAATTAATATGTACTCATATTACCCTAAAACTATCAGGTCTGTGCAGTGTCCTATGATATCTATGTACCAAGTTTCATTGAAATGTGTTGATTACTACTTGAAATATCAAAAGCTGAAAATTAATTAATTATGCAAATTGGGTGATTAATATGTACTGATATTACCCTAAAAACTATCAGGTTTGTGCAGTGTTCTATGACATATGTACCAAGTTTTATTGAAATGTGATGATTAGTACTTGAGATATCAGTGGAAAAGCCGAAAATTGATTAATCATTATGCAAATTAGGTAATTAATATTGCACAGATTTTTACCCAAAACTGATCAAATCCACACATTAGTTTGGAGCATCTATGTGCCAAGTTTCATCAAAATCCAATGAGTGGTTCTTTAGATATCAGTGGAACAGTCATGGAACAGCTAAAAATCAGCTAATTATCATGCAAATTAGGTAATTATTATGCATGTTTTTACCAAAACCTGATCAAATCTGCGCATTGGCCTAGAGCATCTATGAACCAAGTTCCATCAAAAAGCAATGTATGGTTCTTGAGATATCAGTGGAACAGACACACACACACAGACACACACACACAGACAGACACACTAACTGCAAAGACTTCCTTTTTGTGCTTCGCACACGGGAGTCAAAAATTAAGTAATTAAATGAATGAATGAATAAATAAATAAATAAATGAATAAATGAATAAACCAGTGCAGCATAATGTGACTAACCTGTGCAAGTTCTAGGCAGGTTTCATAAGTCCTCCCAATCATACACTTTGCCTCTAACCATGGAATATTGCACATAATCTGAAACGGACAATCAAATAATAATTTTCTTACATTGGTTTCTAGGTGGCCAAGCCATTAGAAAACCCAATGGATACACATAACAGCCTTAAAATAAAGTTGACAGTTGAGGATGCCACAATGAATCAGAAAGTTTGATTTTCATGTACTCCTAGATTAGAAATACTCTAGTTGCTAAGGATATTGTAAATCACTGAAATACATTTTATTTAGACCATAGACTTGTGTCTGCCATTTACATATTTTATAAAACTCATATAGCTGATATAGCTCTGCTGTATAGTTCAAACATTGGAAATGGCAATTTTTACCAAAAATTACAAAAATATATTTTAAAATTAGAAAATTTTCACAAAATGGACAAATCTGAGAGGGGACCTCCCAGTTGTAGTGAGTATGATAGTTTTTAAGAAGTCAAAAATGCAATGGTAAGGCCAATGGACGACTCCGGACAATAAATATGAATACATGTAGTTCTGCTCAACTTTGATCTTGGCCATAGGACTTGTTAATCATAGCACTTGTCAAATGCCTTCAATATATCTTCCATATAGATCAGATCACATGACCTTATTTATGCAAATTAAGTAATCAATATGCATGGTTTCAACCCTGAATAATTAGGTCTGTGGTGTAGCCATAAAGCACCTACATGTATGTGCAGCGTTGTGTGCTTCACACACAAGAGTAAAAAAAAAAACATTGGCTTCTTGGCTGAGAGTTGGTGTTCAGTCCTATCCTCGATATTAGTGGATATCAAGCCGCACTGAAACATACATATGACGTCTTATCATTATTATTATTATCATGAGTGCCAGAATTTTGACTCTTCAACATCCCGTAATACTACTGACATTTCTGTAAAGAACATCTTCAGCACTTTTCAAATCAGTGATCCCATGACAGTAAAACTTATGAGAGGAACACATAGAACCAACCTCTTCAGCTTCTGCCCACATATTTCCTTCTATGAGGTGGTGTGGCAACTCTGTCAGTGTTCGCAAGTTGTAGCGTTTATTATGTATTGCACTGCCATCTTTATTTATTGTCATGTTGGTTTCTTTGTTCATATCCAGAATCAGAGGTTGTTCAGGCACTCCTCGTAAAGCTGACATTGTTTTACCGGTTTGTTTGCTACGGTATGGTTTAGGAGAGTGTGCCCACCTGTGCAAAAAAACACAAAAAAACACAATTATACTACTAATATAACCCAGTACAGCGAATCATTAAATACCACTTAAAACCAGATTTTTTCTAATGAATTAAATGGTAAAGTAATTGTTTTTATGCTGAACTAAAATTTAAGTGCAAGTTTAAAACCCAGTGAATACATGCAATATTAACCAAGTATAGAATTTATTTTTTTAGCTAATTTAAAACCAAATGAATGTCTCTGCAACATCAAATCTGCTAAACCCAGTGAATAGTTTTTTTGATGATGATTTATACGTTTATCTGCGTTTCGATTCACACTGTACGTGTGCATTTACACAAGATTATGCTCTTCTTCTACAAACCTTTGTAATATCACTCCAGAGGGAGGTACAAAGTACATGAACCAATCTACAATTTCAATTCTAGACAGTCACCTTCATCTCTTCGAGTTAATTGCTTCTGAATAAATTCCAGACCTAGATCTATTAGCTAGTTGTTAATAATGTGAATCCCAAGTGAGCCACTATAAATATCCCTCTATGTGGTACACTTTGTCTTTGTGTTAGTCTAAAGTGCCTGTACATTATATGATGTTACATGTAGTCCAACATCCAACACATAATAGTTGAGACAAGATGAATGCATATTTTTGATTTGACTTTATAACTGGTTGAATGTGGAAAATTATTGTGTTAAAATTCAGTGACTACAAAATTTATAGACTAGATTGGATACATATCCAACAACCAAAGCTCAGGTGAAAAAAATTACATGGATTTACGTATAGTTTATGCAGCTATTAACTTTGGATTGTCTTACCTTCCCATGAAATAGTTAGCCAAGGATTGGTGTAACTGAGTTCCTAGTTCTCTCAAGTACCTTTGTTTTGCTACCTCAATAAACAAATAATGGTACCATCTGTAGACAATTGTGTCATCTGTACTGCCTTCAACAAGATAATTTCCTGTGAAATTTAGTAATTTGAATAATCATAACTGACAACCAAACTGTCTTGGTCACCACTTACATTGCCATATTATAAATGGTTATGTATGGTATTACCCCCAAAACGATGAATTTGCGACAATATAAATTTTCATTATTTGTAATTTGAGGGCATGCATGAAAAAAAAAAATCACAAAAGTCACTGTGACTCCCTATGTCCTCAATAAAAGTCACTGTGACTCCCTATGATCTCAATAAAAGTTACTGTGACTTTCTATGAATCTAATAAAAGTCACTGTGACTCCATAGCACCTCAATAAAAGTCACCGAGACTCCCTAGAACCGTTTTGAAAGCCCCCTCTGACTCCCTATGACCCTAATAAAAGTCACTGTGACTCCCTAGGATACAAGGTAAAAGTCACTGTTTTAACATATCCCATGGATAGTTGATGTGAATGCTCTATAATGATTCATTAATGGTAATTCATTATGGTATAGAGATAAAAAGTGATAAAGCTATATATCAAAAATATGTACCTATATTTGTAAATTGGTTGACTCACCTAAATCACTTTTCAATCTCAGCCATAACAAAGGAGGTAGTCTCCTCACAGGTGGTGATTGGTATTGGAAGACATCATCAAGAACCACATCATCACATGACAGAATATCTAAAAGTTCATTGGCTGAGAGACCATTTCGAGCAGCAGTGATGTAACCTAAGGCACGACTGACAAAAACTTCACCATGTTCACCTTCCAATCTGAAACATATTTCAGGCCCATTAAATAACAGACAAATAACACTGTTTTGCATTGTTGGATTTAAATCTAATCCTGTGAAATGATAAGTAAAGTTGCAGTGTTGCATTGTGTGATTAAATCTCAGTGAATAAATATGTCAAAAAGCATTGTTTGGCAATGTGGAATTTAAATCCAGTCTAATAATCGTAAAAATGAAGAGTTGCAATATGTGTAGATTTCAAGCACTCTCAAAGTAAATGTCCCAAAATAATTAGAAAACACTGTACCTAAGGGATATACATATTAAATTTTTATTTAATTTTTTAATTATATTATATGAACAAAAATATAGAAGATACAAAACTCACAAAAAATATACTGTTATTAACAAATATGAAATACATTCTTTTATTAGTTCTTTCATTCAATTAATATAGTTCTGTAAGTGTGACTCACTCTTTGAAAAGTTGTGTAATTAACCCCACTGTTGTTGGTGCAAGATGACAGTCTGCAATATCCGTATATGACTTCCATTTCAAGGCGATATCCGTTGCTAACTTTAAATATAAAGCAGTGGGTTTGTTGTCCTCATATGCTGTCAATACCCGCTGCTTCTGAGCTGGAGTCAGAGACCTATTATGTGCAACAACAAAATGATTTAACTTTCAGTTTCTTTGATCATTAAGCAACAAGATGCGATTCTTTGGTGAGGATACTACATTGTATTAAATAATTTGATGAATATAAATAACATACAGTCTCTGACTAAGGGTTATATTTCTTATTACGTAGGACTCCCTCGAATGACAGCATTAAACGATACAAGAATAATATGTCCAATTGAAGTTAACATGTTGAATCAATCAAGTACACCTACTGCTATGGAATGCGCAAGTACTATGATATATGTGACTGGACTGTGTTATAGAATTTATTGATCCCAATTTCAAACAACTTCTTACTTAAGTTACAGTCGTATATACATGTATACTGTGGAATAATTGATTTTCGCTTGGAATTAATTTTCACTTTTTTTGCTGAAGGAATAATTCAGTGAAAATAAAATCCAGCGAATATACCGGTACCTTTTTTCCCTTTACATTCAACTGATTAAAAATCAGTGAAAATAAATTCCATACAAAACACCCCAAAAGTCTATTCAGCAAAAATTAATTCCAGTTAAAATAAAGTATTCTACAGTATATATATCTACTTGTGACTGCATGAGAGGGTGGCAGTTTAAAAGAAGCAGACTTTGATAACATAGTATGAATAATTGGAGTATATGTATTAGTAAAATACTGTGGAATACATTATTTTCGCTGGAATTTATTTTTGCTGAAAAGGCTTTTTGGGCATTTTATATGGAATTTATTTTCACTGATTTTTGATGAGTTTAATGTGAAATATAGG